GGAGGTTAATACGCGAAAGTTTCACGGCTTAAAGATATGAAACTGATGAGGTCGTGACACGATTTCGTCAATTCACGATCCCCGTCTCTCTTTCTCTCCCAGCTATTCCCGCCTTATCGAAAATCTCTTGTACGAAATAAGAATGAAGGTAGGACGCTTGAATGATCATCGATAGAGACGTAGGCTTCGGCTGATGGAAATAAAGATTGCTCAGTCTTTTTGACACGCATGTTCGAAATGTAGAAGGCTGGTATGAAAGATTCTCGTCAGAGACGTACAAAAATAATACTCTATCGATTGATAAGATCATATTTTCAGATTTACAATACTTGTATATATTGATGGCAGAATTATCAAGTATTTTAATTCTAAAGACTACACAATTATCTATATAAATATATGCATGATATATATATTCTATATAAAATTCAGAAATATCTTTATATAAATTATATAAAATATTTATATCAAAAATGTAGAAAATTTAGTTTACATTATATAAATGTTGAACAATTTTTTTACAAAATTTTAATTTGCATTACATCTGCAGAAAAATAGACTGAAGAGAAAAACAAATCTTGAAATTAAAAAGTTTCATTTCAATGTCTAATTTTACTAAATAAACTCAAAATAACTTTTTGTAAAGAAAAATTTAATTAAGATATTATCAAATATATAAGTTCGTGTACATTTTTTTAATATTTCCAAAAAATAAGAGAATAATGTCTATATATACAATAGAAATAGTGTAGACACTAAATGAGAAACAGCGCATTAGACAAGAAAGAGAATAAACGAATAGGAAATAGATTAGAAGTCAGGAAAAAGATTCGAATGAAATGTAAAAGGTGAGGATACTAGTTTAGAGTTGTTGAAATGCATCGAGCATTCTGATAAAAGTGCACGTTTTACGAACAGAATGATGTTCAGCAGACATTGCAAACCTACAATTGTTAAGTAAATACTATACGAACGGGTTGCATGTTAATTATCAAAATTGGACTGCCGACCAGCAGCTTTTATCAATCTTAGGAACTTACTTTGTGAGATAAAAGGAATTACCACTGGGAATTTTACAAGCTCCACTATACTTGTCTTAAGATTAAAGAGAATGGAATCTAGAAACTTGTTAAACGTTTGAATCATCTTAACTTGTTTAAAAAATTTAAATCACATTAAGAAAATTGCTCCGTGTAGCATAATGGAGTCACAATAAATTTTCAATGATTATTTACATAAACTATTAAGTTCATAAATTTAGTCAGCGTTATATGGATACAACATTGTATTATTATAAGATATATTAATTACTAAAGATTACACTTATTTAAAACAAATGACATCGCTTTTATGCGTTAAAAGCATATATAATGTAATTCTATTAATATGTGATTGATCGAATTATTGTAGAAATCTAAAATTTTAAAAAATAAGCACCTTTCTGGCAGTGTAATCGTAACAGAGATATCGCTTGTATAAACGTAGAGACAAGATTTCGAAATTGATAGAACGAACAACAAGCTTGCAATCTTTCTGCGGATTACGTCCCTAGCGCGCAATTTGAAACATCGACACACCCCATCCCTTCCATTTTCGCGTCTATCACGCCCGACCTAGTCGACGGCAATAAATCCAAACTTACGGTGTATCCTTGGATGCAAATTCTCCTACAGCTGCGGAAATTTCGCAATGCAATGTCGCCGTTTCCTCTCTCTCTCTCTCTCTTTGCTGCGCTTGTCATTTTATATATATATATATATATATATATATATATATATATATATATACATTTCTATAAAAATTTAAATAACCTCATAATCAAATAAACTATTAATGATTTGTTGTTATAAAAATAATCACAATTAATACGAAAAAATCTATACAAAGAGTTATACGGAATTACAAAATTATTAAAATTAGTGGAATAAGCGAGACAATTTGTGCGCCACGCCTGGCGCACATTTTGAATCATCACCATCCTGCTTTCCACCCGCCCACGCAAAATCTTTTCTATCCACACGTCCATCGCGTTCGACTGGCTCGATGGCAATAAATCCAGACTTACTCTTTATCCTATCGAGGCTTTGCCCGTCAGGGTGCGAGCCTCTCTGGCATTGTCGCGGCTATATCACCGGCCAAAAAGGACGGACGGAGAGACGACGGCGTGTCGCGCGACAGGACTCGACGGAGCCTGAATTAAATTCTGAGATTTATCGCGTCAATAACCGTACATTAATTTATGATTTTTTGCGGTAAAGAACGTAAATCCATACGGCACACGCCACGCCACGCCGTCGTCGTCGCGCCAATTGTTTCGCTCTACGTGACGATGCGAACATAGGAGGAATGGGTATAAAAGAGAAACGCCGAAGGGGAAATAGAGAGGGCAAACGCGTTACATATATAGAAACAGCTTGAAAACTATATCGATAGAAGTGGGGTGGATTCGCGGTGCGAGCAACAGCGAAATGGGTACTACACTGGCAGGACCAGCGGCGTGTTCCACATCTAACTTATATTGACCACTCAACATTCCGCGCTCGTAAACTACGACGTTTGCCGATCATTCGGGCGCAAAAGCAATCGAAAACGGTATATCGCGATTCCGGAAAGGCCTTTGAAGTCGTACACGACCACGAGAGAAAGCGTTGCCGATTAAATTATCCGTCCATATTTATTACTCGATGAAATGTGTGATGACGCTACTAAAATATTACTAAAACTGTACTTAAATTCTCTGTATATTGACACTTGCGATATATTTTCAATAAAAATTAATCGGCCGGACTGATGATTCGTTGTTCGGAATTTACCCTCTATCTGATTCATTTCACGATCTACGGCAAAGGAACGATCTTTGGCAAAGGAATATCATGTCAAACTTGAAAATTAATTGAATTACTATACTGTACACTTGTTTCGTATAAAGTTAAAGTTATTATTAAAGTCATCATTAATATGTATTCATTTTCTTTACTCATTAGGAAGGTGTACACATAGTATGAATTTCTTCACACTTTTTTCGCTTTCGCTCAGATACGTCCTTTGATCGATTAATCGTTTTAATTACGGGCGAAACCGCGGCAGGTGTGCATTCAAATTGATGCACAGAGTGGAAGTACCGACCGGCTGCAGCCTGAAACGCGCGTAATTCCGCCTGCCTTCTCTTTTATTCCCTTTTACGTCCTTTCCTTTTGACAACCCTTCTTTGAAGCCTTCTTTTGCCAAACGAGGTCGTCCTTTTTGTTTTTTTTTTTTTTTTTTCACCGCCTATTCGCTTTCCGTCCGTGTGTATCACGGCAAACGTCGTTTGCTAGACTTTTTAAACATAACACATTAAATTTAACGTATAAGACGGGCAACAAGAGCCAAATCGCGGATGACAATGCGTTATCCTAACGAAACTAAATAATTTTCCGTTAGAATTAAATACCGGTGCACAAGGCACCAAATTTTACTTGGACACGGCCAAGATTTTAAATATGAAATAATCTCATATTTGAGATTTAATTTCAATACCCCTTTTTAACCCTCCCCACGGAAAATAAATAAATGAATGCAAGAGAAAAATATAGATCCGAAAATCGCTGAATCGGGAATCGAACCCGAGACCTTTCGCTTTATACGTTAAATTTATATTTATATTACAGAGCCTTGTTAAAACTCTTATATTTATAACACATTAAATTGTGGTTCCACGTATTATGCATTAACATGACTTATCCTTGTAAAGCTGAACGTATTTAGTTTAGTAAGCAGACGAATAAAGACAAAAGAAAGTTGAAAAATATATATTTCACTCTCTTCTAGTAATATTTATTTTTACTAATTATTAATCTTTTTTGTTCTTCAATTAATAATTAATTAGTACACGTTTTGTTAATTATAAAATACACCTCGCATATACAAATACAAATGTCGTATGTATTACAGGTAGTCGCTATATTCAATGATTTTTTAATTACTTGCTACTTTCTTGCACTTCATCCATCACAAACGAGAGGACAAGGGAGAAAGAGATCGGTATTGTCATCTTTGCGCCGGCAATTTTTTCTGCGCGGGCAATTAATTCCAAAGTGTCATACATCAAAGTTCCGTCTACGTCAATAATATTCTACATCAATCACCATGTATATATAGTTGATAGTATCGTAGATATAACGCGCGACTCTGTAGTGTTTTAAAAATTTCCATTATTCGCGATCGAAAAAGGTAGTTCAAGATAGTCGCTGGATAACGGAAGCGCGGAATTTTATTTGTGGCGCACGCGCGCCATCGCACCGGTCGAAAGGATATTTCCTCGCTTCGAGCTCTCGCTGAAACGACTGCAGCCTCCCTCCTCGAGATGGAGTAGGGGAAGGAAAAGCACGTCGCGCGTTCCAGTATTCCTAATTTTGTCCGCCGGGCGCTACTGGAATCTTAATTATGAGGAAGAATTCGTCGGGGGCGGTCCGGCAACCCGATCCCAATTCGCCCGACAATGTCGCCGGTACTTTTCCAGGGAATATGAGCGTTTCGAAATTCAACTGCGCTTGAAACAAATTGAGGTCTTTCTGCTGCGAGCGATAAAAAAAATATTACGATAATGACGGCATAGACAGGGGGTGAATATTCCCTAAAAAATATTAAATATCGTTATATTCGTATTTGTGCATGTGCATTATTTCAATGTTCATTATTTTCCAGCGAAAAGAGAGAAAGGAAGATGATTAAATACATCATATATCTTTATATAGGTTACATTGGATACCGATACAGGGAATCATTTAAATCGTATTGCACAGAAATGATGCAAGAATATGAAATAAAGACTGAAATAAGTAAAAGGACTCTTAATTGAATTGGTCCGTAATAAGAACAAAATTTGGATGATCTAAATTTATCTTACTAAATTTATATATTATATTATAAGATTTCTTAATAATTGAATCATCTTGTCATAGACAGATTACATATCTATATCTTATTTTATCTTACAAGATATAATATTTATGTTACAGAGATTGCAGAGTCGTCAGAGATCCCCAAACTTTAAAATCCAAGGGATATGGATTCGTTTCGTTCGTTAAAAAAGCGGTAAGTACACGATACTAACCAATCACATATCTTTTTGTAGCGGAATTGTAAAATTATCGTAGCTAAGATGAAAAATAAATACTATCACCTGAGTCTTAGCTACGATATTTAGATTTTGCAAGGCAAAGTTATTATTTCAAACACAAATTTTTATAACTCCCTTATTCTCATCCGTATTCTGTTTATACATATAAATCGTTGCCCTTTAATAGTAAAAATCTGTTTTTCCATTAAGAAATTTTCACATATATAAGTTTATTATCCAAGCATATATATATATGTATATGTCACAATTAATATATAGAATCTTTTAATTATATTAAAAATGTACATATTCTGAATTAAGTTCGAGATCTTACAGATCTCTTACAAGACTTACAGAAACTTTGTGCATTACCTTCTCTTGCGACATACCATTTTACCAAAATGTAGTTGCTTTCAAGAAAGTCTGAAAATAATTTCAGAGAAAGTCGCAGCATGCAAAGTGCATTGATTAAAGGAACAACATTCGTAACTCTATATCTAAAAGATTACAGTCAAAAATAAAATGACAAATTGTCCCGGTACTTGTGAGAAGAGAAGATAAGAGAGTTCTCGATGCACATTTTATGTAAATCAGACTTACGGTAACACATAACGGCCAGGTAGATAATTCCCTTCCGAGCAGCATTTTAATTATCACATTTAATTCCGACGATTTCTAAAGTTGGAAAGAACGCGAGTATTCTTTAACGACTACGACTGCGAAATCACACTCGCTCGTCACTTCCGGAGTACGTCAAACTGCATGTGCTATCTTCCCGATTTTCCTCCGATCAAATAAGTGGAAGAGTCTTGACCGTCACGGTTTACAACATCATTTTTCGAGACTAAATGGAGAGTGGCCGGAGTTTTACTATGACCCGCCAAAATCCGCGACGTAAATCACAGCGAAGTTAGATGTACGGCTGAGTAAAAGAAGGCTTTCCTCCGTTTATGGCGAGGTTATTCGTCGAGCCCCGAAGGTAGACCCTCTCTCTCTCTCTCTCTCTCTCTCTCTCGTTTCCCCTCTGTTTTAATGCCCTATCGATCTGGACCACCGCCGGCACCTGCCTCACACCCGCGGTATTACTATTGCCGAAGTATAAATTTCCCGAGTGTCTCCGTTAACCTCGAGGAACACGCGAAAATTTCACCCCCTACCCTTCCTCCCTCTATCTGCATCCCCCACACACCCTAGCATCCACCGACCAGTCCCACTGCCACTATATCCTTCGACCGCCGGATACACGTACCTAAATCGCGAACTCTGATCGCCCAGCATCCAACATTCGGGCTCCTTTAAGATGTACGAGGAAATACGAATTCTCAGGATTCTCGTTTTTCTTCGACGGTCGTGAGTTTCAAATGCTGCATTTAATAAATATCGAACTTTATAATGTCCTGTTAAAATCCTGTGTGCATCTATATACAATGCGTTTATCTAACAGTAATAATGCATCAATATATATTGGCAACAGTTTTCTCAATATAGCTTTACAAATAGACTTTTAATTCTTCGTTACTTTTTTATTTTGAAAAAATGTTTTTTTTTCTTTATCTTGCAAATTAATTTTGATGATTTTTTTTCATTTCTGCTAAGGTAACGATAAAAATCAACCACAATAATAAATTATTAAATAATATGAGGCCATGTGTAACGAGCAATTAAAAAATTATTATAATCTTGAAAAAAACTTTAATTTCAAATAAACCAGTTACAAACGTTTCGATCTGTACTCAGTCTTCTTCAGTGCGCAATAATCATTATAATAATTAAATAAATATAAATAAAAATTCTAATAAAAAGTCGCAATATAATGTCAAAATAAATTAAATTAAATACTTATGTCAAAATTAAAAGACGAAATACGCTAACAATAAATTTAAATCATCAAATACAGTTCAACACGAACAGTCCTAATTGAATGCATAAAAATCAAGATTTGTAATTTCCGAGGGAAATGTATGTATAAGTAAAACGTTATGTCAGAAACAGATATGTAGTGCAATGTCGCATCTATTTAAATGCGTAGGCCATTATTTAATTCAAAAGAGTGAAAAAGAGAAAAAAGAGAGAAAGAGAATTATATGCGCGTCCTTATTACTAGTTTGTGTATAATGGTCAGTATACTTATGGTACACTTATGTTAATTCTCAGTCGCTCTGGTTACTGTCAACTTTTGTTGCTTTAGCATGTGATCAATAAATCGCGCGCGCGCTATTATAATTTACGACCTTAAACACACAAAAGCACATCACCGTGCGTATAGATTTATGTATTCTTGGGTATATAAACAAAAGCAATTACAGCATCATTACGACGCATTGATTAGCATCGTCTGCATTATTTTATTTACGGTTACCGTCAAAATACCGGATGCATAACGACCACGTTATTGAATATACACGTACAACCGTGTAAATAAATAGTCTTTATTTTCTGACGCAATATAGATATGATATATATCGAATCGATGAATGTTTGAAACAACAAGTCATATTTTTATTTGATCATAGAGTCATATAGCTTTTATTAAAAATTGTAAAATGTGAAACGTTAGTTGGATTGCATTTATAAATTAAATAAATAATTTTAAACATTACTGCTTATGTAATAATAACGTACAAAGAAATATTGCTTGTCATTTTGCTATTTATTTTTTTCGAAAATCAATATCAAATAATTGTGCCAAGCAAAATATATATCCTACAATTATTTAAATTAATTTATACCATTTAAATATATCATTTATATGATTCAAAAATTTTAATAAAAATTATCGAATCGCGGACTAATTAATAATATTTTTTTACGAAATTACAATACCTATATGATTGCTTAAATAAGATATATATGAAAAATACTTAAAAATATTAACTAATCCAATTCATACGCATATCGCAATTTATGAATGCTCATATTTCTAGTGAAATTAGAATTTCAATGACAAAATTTGAAAAATAATGAAAATTTAATAGTAAAATAAAGACGTAAGTCAACCCGCGGTGTCGGACTTGTTTGATAAGGAAAGAAGTTTCGTTAAGGCCACGTAATCCAGTGGATCGTAATGCACATGGTATCCGGACATGACTTAATAATGCGTGTCAAACAGCTGGGTGTCGGTGCGCGCGGCGCTCCCGACTGTCTATAGCACCACCGGCTGCGGAAGAAATTCGATTTGATGGGTGCTTGGACAGTTCGAAAGCGCGAGGGGTGAGAGACGGCAAGCGGCTAGTCAGCGGTGGCACTTCTGGTATCACGTAAACGCCCTGGTCACGCTGGACGAAAGGGGGCAAACAGCGGTGGTTTTCAGGGGTTGCGGGTCGAAGAGGCGTCGGGGATATCGACCGAAGTTTAGAATCGGCTTAGAACGAGGCGTTCGGTCGCCTGGCTCTATCTAGGCTAACCGCGCGAATGCGCCGCATCACATATCTAGAATGGAAATTTGAATCGGAAATACTTTATCCAGAGGGAAAAACGCGAACAGCCGCGAGGAATAAGGACAGTGCAAGGAGAGAAAGAGAAAAGCGCAGAAAGTCGCTGGCTGAAGTGTAGCCGTGGAAGAAAGTAACGGCTGGAGATGAGGCAAAGGCAAAGCCGAGGACTCCCCAAATGGCGCAAATGGTTGAGAGTAGAGGCGGCAGGAGCTAGAGAGAGATTGCTGCTGCATGGAAGCTGGAAAGACGCAGGGGAGAAGATCGTAGAGAAGGGTTAGAGGGAGAGATGTATCCTTCCTTCGTCTCTCTACTATGTACGTACACTCGAAGAGCTTTTCGAACAGTAAACTTTTTCGGGGAGTTGCTCTCGCGTCGAGAAAATTTTTAGATCTCTATCCTTTCTCTCTCTCTCTCTCTCTCTCTCTCTCTCTGAAGTCCGCATATCGTCGTCACGACGTCTCGCGCCAGTTTCGAACGTTGCAACCGATGACGTGGTCGTGTCACATCATATATATATATATATATTTCCCTTACACGAACGCCAGCGCGTTGCAAATATCAGTCACCGAACAGCAATTCGACACCTTCACCTTTACGCGAGTTTCGGTAAATCAATTTCGTCCTGTTCTTCGTATAATCGCGTAATGGATAGCCAGCTTGAGTACAGGCGATAAGCTCCGTTATGTCATAAAATTATAAAACGTTATAGAGATCGCGCGAATATACATATATATATATATATATATGTGTGTAGTTCGCGAAAAAATCTATGCTATACGTTCTTCCCTCTCGCCCAAAGGCGATCTCATCCCGTCGCCCAGAAGGAAATCTAACGTCGCGATGGAAAATGTTCCGGATCGCCCGGAGCGGTTGCGCGAAAATCCGGGGAATCAAAAGTGCAGTCGAGCGAATAAAATTTCAAAACGTATATTAAGTTGACCTGGATCGAGGGCCACGTTAACGGGATACCGCGGCTGAATCAACAATAAGTCGTGGATAATATTGACGTCAACATACCTGTTGGTTTTATCCGCGGTTTTGCGTGTGAATGCGGCCCTATCTCCTCCCGAGAACGCCATCGTGGTTCTTACGACGGCTCGCAATTGTTGTTATAGACGTTGCGAGAGACAATAAAGGAGCTTTTGCAGAGACACTGCACGGCGCATCGCGTATTTTCATTCGCAACTCAGTAAAATTCCTTAGAAGCATTCCGTAATACGTAAATACACACCAACTTCCTATCTCACATAATTCGCACAATTATTACTTATTGTGGAATTTACATTAATTGCATTACGCGAATTTTATGCAATTTGTCAATTATCAAACTTCGTTCTTATATCTATTCTGTTTTGTATTGCAGATTTTTTAATATAAAGTACTGCTTAAGAATTTTGCAAATGTTAACTGTAACTGTATGAATCTATGTACTCGTATTTTATACATTAAATGAAACGATATTATAAAATAATTATTACTTATTGTGGAATTTACATTAATTGCATTACGCGAATTTTATGCAATTTGTCAATTATCAAACTTCGTTCTTATATCTATTCTGTTTTGTATTGCAGATTTTTTAATATAAAGTATTGCTTAAGAATTTTGCAAATGTTAACTGTAACTGTATGAATCTATGTGCTCGTATTTTATACATTAAATGAAACGATATTATAAAATAAAATATATATCGCATTATATACAAAAATAGCTTTCCATATATCTTTTCATATATGTATATCCTTCCATATAAACGTTCTTCGTAAAAATCAACAACTTTGACTGTAAAAATTGAATTAATGAATAATACAGTAACACACATAGAAACCGAATGAAATTCAATCTGTTGGTAAAGCTACTATAAAAAGGAAAATATTCCGCTATAGAAAGCTATAGAACAACATTACAAAAAAGAAAGGAGAATATAAGATTAAAAAAAATAAATAAATAAATAAACGCAAAATTTAATAAACTTAATATTGAAATTTATGCAACTTTCTTATATTTAGTAATTAACAAAATTGCCAGATTTTTTGTTTTTAGTATATAAACTTTGCTTTTAGAATTTTCTGTAGAAAATGTTAATTTTTCTTGTTATTATTTTTTTCAGGAAGCAGAAAGCGCCATCGGTAACATGAACGGCCAATGGTTGGGTGGCAGAAGTATTCGGACAAATTGGGCCACTCGCAAACCTCCCGCACCTAAATCCGAAGGTAAGTACCTTCGTATTCCCATGACCGAGCGTTTTGTTGCATATAAGAGTGTAGCGTATAATGCATGATTACTATCATGATAAATGGTTTCCTTGCTATAGCAGATGAAAGTATTCAATTGTCGTTACAAAGCGCAAATCAATGTGTATTACACGTGTTACGCAATCTTTCATCTAAAACGAGTAGGTTTCACGGTAGGTTTCTTATTTCACCGTCTTATTTTCTGAAATTTTACAGTAGTTAGAGAGCGAAAAATATAGTATAACGAAAGCCATAATTGCTACGAATAGATTATTATCAATAAGCGAAATGCAGAAAACGCGAGAACGATTATGACTTGACGGTAAGAGTTTCAGACACATTTCTAAAAAAAGAAAAAAATAATAAAAAAAGTTTGTTAAGTACAAGTTTTTGACATAAGCTGGAAGTAATTCCGACAAGTCGAAATCAGTCTAGCGGATAGAATACTGTAACGGTGCAGTTTTCGGAAAAGAAAATCAAAGGGTCGATAGATATTTCCAAAGTACTTCGTCAAAGCGTAATATTTACGTCCACGACATGCCCCGTCATGAATACCAAACCGGGGCTGCTAAATTAAATATCGCGTTCGTCGGTCGCGAATGCGGAAATTTCGCCGACGCAACCGGAATTCGATTAGGTCGGCGAAATTCTACCGCGCACAAATTGATGCGCACGGTCGCGTTATTCTGTGGAGTTCGAAAGGTCCGCCTCTTGTGCAACACTCGGTGAGTCGTTCGCACAGAAAGCTTTCACTGTGCCATTCAGGAAAGCTCGAAACGGCTTTACCACGAGCGGTTACTCTGCAAAGCGGACTCTACAAAGGCAACGCTAGCTGTTCGAGTGTTTGTTAATCGATACCTTGAGATGGACTCAAGTGCCTTTTTTCAATGGACCGAAGGTGGAGGAAGGAAGAAGTTCTACTCGCATCGGACTATCATGTTCCCAGAGTACTGAGATTGATTTTAAAGCCCGGCAAGCGACAGTATGAACTCTGTGAAAATTTCCCGCAGCGCGATGGGGATCAACAAATATTTTCTTCTCTCTCTTTTTCGAAAATGCGTTGCCTAGCGATAAATCGTAAATCGCTCTTTCGAATAACGTACCAAATGCAGATAATCAAATGCGATTTTAACAAAAGAGAATTGATGAATATATTTTGAAACACAATAATAAAAATTTACATTTTCTGAAAAAAAATTATAATACCATATATAATGATAAATTTTAATTAAATATTTCCGATAAAACATTTAAATTCTAAAAAGAAATGAACCGCGTCTTGCTTATGCAACATCATTGTGGCCAATGAATGAGAGTTGAAATATTCTTTTTCGCGATAGTAATTACTTGTATAATTAGGATGGTTTGAGACAACGGCAAGATGAAAGCCTTGGCTCTCTCAGTAGGGATAGTAAGAATCCAATTGAAGTTATGAACTAAACGCATAATGAGCTTGGAGGTAGCACACTCTGAGAGGCCCCAAGTAAGTATTATTATATTATCATAAGCGGCTCTTCGTCGCGCCGAGTCGAGGACTCCATCGTCCATCCTCGAGAGTCACCTTCCCCCGACCCCTCGGCTAACTAATTTCATTCCGCAAGTCTTTAATTAGTATTCGTCGCGAGGCGTCCAAACTTTTTCACTAGACGAGGGCTTGCAAACTCGACCTACCCGAATTGTTCACCCGTATTTGCATAGGCCAAATTCGCAGAAAGTACTTTCTTGCTGGCCACCTTTACGCGGTTAATATTCCCCGACGGACGTACCCTAAATCTCTCATAAGAGAAAATAATGATCTTAAAGAAATTCACCTTGTTCGTTTTCTTCCCCGTCGTAAACATCCAACGCTCGTGACAGTCCCTAGTGCGAATATAATATATACGTTTCCGCGATTAAAAAACGCGGCCACGTGTGGAAAAGTTACTTTTTAATTTATAAACTTTCACTTTTTCTCTAACTTTGTGACCGAATCTAGTTATCTGAGATTTTGCAATAAAATCATGCGTAATTGAATCAAACGCGCGCGCGCGTATAATTTAAAAATTTATTATTATTTCAAACTCTTAAAATTCTTCTATGCTAAGATTAAGAAATTCATGATAAAGGCAAATTTCTAATTAAGTTTGTATCTATGCTTCTTCTAATTAAATTAATGTAGAATACAAAGAGAATATCTCTCGATTTTACGTGAATAATTTAAAAATTCTTTCGACTAAAATAATAAAATTATACACACGCATAGAAAACGCACTCGTATTTTAAATCGCTTAAACATTTTTACATATTTGTAAGTAAATTGCATAAATGCAAGTAAATATTATACAATAAAAATATTTGATTTAATCAATTCTCCGAGCTTAGTTTTATTTTTTCCAGCAATCACCAGCTATGATTACCGATTATTTAAAGCAATATTTCAGTATCGATTCACCAAATTGGATTTCAAATTTAATTAGCAAGTAATCTCGAAAAACTTGAGCTCTCTTTAATTACATTAAATGTCTTTCAATCTGGCTTTTACGATCATAAAATATTTAAAAATCTTTCAACGCACATATTTTTTTTTTTAAATACTTAAATAATTATCTATTTAAAATTACCACTCATATATGTATGTTTAAAATTTTTTCATTTATTTATTTTGAATATAAGAGTTTTAACAAGGCTCTGTAATATAAATATAAATTTAACGTATAAGACGGGCAACAAGAGCCAAATCGCGGATGACAATGCGTTATCCTAACGAAACTAAATAATTTTTCGTTAGAATTAAATACCGGTGCACAAGGCACCAAATTTTTACTTGGACACGGCCAAGATTTTAAATATGAAATAATCTCATATTTTGAGATTTAATTTCAATACCCCTTTAACCCCCCTACGGAAAATAAATAAATGAATGCAAGAGAAAAATATAGATCCGAAAATCGCTGAATCGGGAATCGAACCCGAGACCTTTCGCTTGCCGGGCGACTGCTCTTCCAGCTGAGCTATTCAGATCCTTTCTAACGAAAAATTATTTAGTTTCGTTAGGATAACGCATTGTCATCCGCGATTTGGCTCTTGTTGCCCGTCTTATACGTTAAATTTATATTTATATTACAGAGCCTTGTTAAAACTCTTATATTTGATACACGCTGGCTTAAAAAATGCGTTTGTTTACCAACATTAATATATATAACAGAGAAAAGTATAGAATCGAAAGGATCTGAATAGCTCAGCTGGAAGAGCAGTCGCCCGGCAAGCGAAAGGTCTCGGGTTCGATTCCCGATTCAGCGATTTTCGGATCTATATTTTTCTCTTGCATTCATTTATTTATTTTCCGTAGGGGGGTTAAAGGGGTATTAAAATTAAATCTCAAAATATGAGATTATTTCATATTTAAAATCTTGGCCGTGTCCAAGTAAAAATTTGGTGCCTTGTGCACCGGTATTTAATTCTAACGAAAAATTATTTAGTTTCGTTAGGATAACGCATTGTCATCCGCGATTTGGCTCTTGTTGCCCGTCTTATACGTTAAATTTATATTTATTTGAATTATTTTTTATCCAAACCTACAACTTTTTAATAAATTATTTTTAATATATTGTTTATGTACATCAAGTAAAGAAATACTATGTCATTCGTGTGAAAATATATAAAATCTTATTGGCGATCTTACGAACTCTAACAAAACTCTCGAGCTTCGAGTGAACGACTTGGCACGCTTCAGGCAAATTCTTGTATTGTATCGATAGCCAATCGTGTTCAACTCACTACATGTACTGAGATGTACTCGTGACATCGATTTGCACACTTCAAAGTCACTATTTCTTATAACATCGTCTATTTGCGTCGTAGTATTGAATAGTAATTTCTTGCAACTGCTTTACAAAAGTTAACAACACGCAAAGTGGCATAACTTTTAGTGCATAACCAATTCTATATAATAAATTGTAAATTTTAAAATTAAATAAGTGATAGATAAATTTGTCGTGTTTCAAAATACATAACAATTATATAACAGTATAGAAAGAAAATGTTATTTAAATTTTTTAATTTATGTGTGTTTTAGTTTATGTACATGTATTTTCGACTACATATTTAATTACATACATTATTAAGTATATGTATCCCAATTCATATATTTAAATTTCGATCAATTTATTTAATATAAAGCTTTTTTTATATGTAATTTAACGATGATATTCGCGATATATTTCCTTAGTGTAAATTAATAGAACATTTTGATTACACTAAATTATTCTTGCTAAGTTATGTCATTAAAGATTTTTTGAGAGTTATTAAAGTATTCTGCGTGGAATTATTTGTGAAAGAACTTTGCCTATAATGCACAACGGCAACCTAAGATTTTTAGATAGAAAAGTTTCATATTTTCGGAAAAATGGTTCCTTGAAAAGAAAATGCATATATCTATAAGCATGACATAACGCTTTGACGTGGAAAATATCTCGACGACATTCCCTAAAATTATAATAAACTATCTTTTTATAAAAAAAAACCTGTAACTGAACAAAGAATATGTTGTATATCTTAATATTCTGAAGCAAAATTATATTGTATTGTAATAAAAAATATTTCATAAATATTTTTTTGAAATAATTTAATGTTGTAATAAAGTAACTGAATATTTTTAAAACAGAAAACAATAATATCGCGTTACATTGACACTTCTAGATTTTATCTAAAAAATAATTGTTTAATTTTTAATTAATAAATTGCTGTAATTAATATACATATATCACATTAAGATTTTTATTTAAACTTAAAATTCAAATTTTGGTATGTAAACTACAAATTATAAATTACAAATATATATATATATTATTTGTTCTTTATTGTATTGCAATCATGCATTTCTGTATATCATAGATACTCATATAAAAAACCATTAATGTAAAGATTATGACGATAAAACCACGTTTAATTAATTGCCTCCTTTTTCGTGCATCATATTTTATGACGAATATCAAGCGACG